TTTTGCTTGTGACCTTTAAGCTGGATCTCAAGAGAGTCATCTTGATGCTTAATTGTCTTTTTTAAATCTAGCAAAAAGCCTAAGTTTCAGATATATTTTCTTTCTTTTTGTTTTTAATAAATTTTACCTTTTTTTAAGAACAGGATTGGATTTTTGTGTCCTAAGAGGTTTGTGCATATGCTGTTTAATTAGCTGGTGGCAACAGCTGATTTTCTTCGTTTTCTTTCTCAGGCCTGGTCTACACTACGACTTTAATTCGGATTTAGCTGTGTTAATTCGAATTAACCCTTCACCCGTCCACACTACAGAGCCAGTTAATTCGAATTAAAGGGCACTTAAAATCGATTTCTGTACTCCACCTCGACGAGCGGAGTAGCGCCTAAATCGATTTTGTTAATTCGAATTAGGGTTAGTGTGGCCGCACACCACCGAATTACTGTGGTTAAAGTAATGGGGTAGTGTGGCCGCACACCACCGAATTAATGTGGTTAAAAACCGAATTAATGTGCTTAGTGTGGCCGCGCACAATCGAATTTATACAACCTGTTTCCCAAATTCGAATTATCTAAATTCGGATTAATCCTGTAGTGTAGACATACCCTCAGCTCTTCCCCGTGGGGGGGGGGTGAAAGGGCTTGAGAGTACCACACAGGAAGGATTTCCCAAGTGCGCCTTCTTGGGTTCTCAAAAGGGGGTTTTTGCACTTGGGTGGTGGCAGCATCTACCCATCCAAAATCAGAGAAAAGCTGTAACCTTGGGAGTTTAATAGCAGCCTGGAGTAGCCAGTATTAATTTTTAGAATCCTTGCAGGCCCCCAGCTTCTGCACTCAAAGTGCCAGAGTGGGGATTCAGTCTTGACAAGGGATATGGGGAGATTTTCACAAGCACCAAACATTCAATGGGCCCCCCTAGTACATATGGCCAGGAGCAGGTACACACAGGAGTCCACTCAGCCCCTCAATCAGTGCAATGGAAACAGCGTCTCATGGGATCCAGTCTCTCAGTACACAGCGACCCTTCATGTGAGGGTGGGTGGTAAATTGACACAGGGCCTTTCTCCTCTAGGGGGTGCTGACTGCAAACGAGACCTAGGGCAGAGACTGGCTTGATCAGGGTGGGAGGGGGTCAGGAATGGGACATGGGGCCTTTTCCCTCTAGATGGTGCCAGCTCCAATCTAGTCCCAGGGCAAATACTGGTTGGCTCAGAAGGGGCAGGGAATGGGACATGGGGTCTTTCCCCTCTAGGGGGTGCTGGCTCTGACCAGTCCCAGGGACAGGGACTGGCTGGCTCAGAGGGACTGGGAATGGGACATAGGGCCTTTTCCTTCTGGGGGACACCGGCTGTGGACAAGCCCCAAGGTGGGGCACTGCCTGGCTCAGGAGGGTGGGAAATTGGACATGGGACCTTTCCCCTCTAGGGGGCACCATCTCCAAACCAAAACTGGCAGGCTTAGAGGGGTTAAGAATCAGATTCACTGTTTCTGCCCCTGTCCCCAGTCTGGGTGTCTGTGGTAAGTGATGCTGTTACAGACGAGCAGGATCTGGTCTCCCTGATGCACATCCCTCCCCCCGGCTCACAATCGCAAGGCGGGGGAGGCAGGCAGTTGAGAAGGATCAAGGGACCAGAGCCCAACCAGCAGCTAAGCTGAGTCTTAGTCAAACCATGGCTCCCACCACAATAGCACAAAGCTGGGGTGAGAGCAAAGACTCTGTTGTTAGCTGCTGAGCCACCTCCCCAAGCTCCGCTCCAGATGTGCGCAGTACCCAGCTGTGCACAGCTGCCAGGGGCATAGGGGGGTCCCAGCTAGGTGTGTCCCCAGCTGTGCCTTGCACCAGAATGGGCAGCCCCCAGCTGGGCAGGGCTCCTGGGGCTCAGCTGTGGGGGTTGGGACCCATCTGGGCTTGATCTTCCCTCCCAGCCTGTGTGGTGGCATTTCCAGGAAAGGAGAGGGCTGAGGCCCCACGTGGCAGAAGGAAACATCACACTGAGGTGTCCCTCCCCCATGTCTGCTCCAATCCAGGCGCCTGGAGGAAGAGGCCAGCAAAGCTGGTTCAGTCGATGTCTCAGCCCTAGCCACATGCCTCACCAGGCGCGTGCAAGGAGCGGGGGGGCCAAGCTGCATCACGGCTCAGCTACGTGCCAGATGTGCACGGCCCCAGGCTGGACCAGTGCCCAGATGTGCCAGAGCCCTAGCTGTGGAAGGAACCAGGCCACAGCAGAGCCTTATTCCTGTTTCTTCACCTGGATGAGGAGGGAAGGGGTGGTGTTGCTTTCCAAGACATCAGGCAAGCAAGGCTGTTAGCCTGCAGCTGGTGAAGGTCCCAACCGGGCACAGGAGCGGCCCTGGTGCACTGAGATGCTGAGATGAGGCTGGGTTAACCAGTCTCATCTCTTTTCACTTCCCCCTACTGCTCGGCAGGGCTGCAGGGCACTGTCCAGGGTGAGCGCAGCCCTGCGATATGCGATACCCGTGACCCCACCAGAATAGACTCTGCAGTCAAGGGGCTGCAGATGGTGACTCCCCTTTCCAAACTCCCCGCCAGCTGGTGTGGTGGGGGCTCCAGGCGCTGAGATGGCAAGTCCCGCATCCACACACTGGAGCGCATGACCCTGAGGTTTCCTGCCTTGCATCTGCGCTGCTCAGACAGGCCTGTAACCGACCTCCCAGGCAGATGCACCCCCAGCTGGGTCCTGACAATGCTGCTCCTACTCCTTCTCCCCAGAGCTGGTGAGTGGGGGTGGGTCATAGTGGCCCCAATGTGCACAGCCACCAGGGGGCGCAGGGCCTCAGACATGCACAGCCCCCAGGGGGTTCAGGACCCCGGATATTCATGTCCCCTGGATTACAGGACCCCAGATGTGTGCAACTCCAAGGGTGCAGAACCCAAATGTGCACAGGCCTAGGGGTGCAGGACCCCACATAGCCACAGCCCTGGAGGTTAGGAGCCCCAGATATGCACAGTCCCATGGGGGCAGGAAGCCACATGTGCACAGCCCCCCAGGGATGCAGGACCCCACATGTACACAGTCCCCAAAGGGTGCAGGGCCCCATATATTCACATGCCCAGAGGCTCTAGGGCCCCAGATGTGCATAGCCCCAAGGGTTGCAGGCCCCAGATGTGCACAGCCCCAAAGGATGTAGGGCCCCAGAAGAGCACAGTCCTGGGGATCAGAGTGCTAGATATGCACAGCTCCCAGGGGGTGCAGGGCTCCAGATGTCTATAGCCCCAGGGGATGCAGGGCCCCAGATGTGCACAGCTCCAAGAGAGCAGGGCCCCAGATATGCACAGCCCCAGGCGTACAGGGCCATAGATGTCCACATCCAAAGAGTTTGCTCTCTGCCAGCTCTGCAGGGTGGCTGGTGAGTCCCTTATGCTACTTGTGAACTTCTCCCCAGCAGGATCCAGGGCTGTGGTTTACTCTGAGTCAAGCATCACGGGAGAGTGGGGGGAGCAGCCCCTCCCTTTCCTTTTCTCCTGGCCAGTTCTATAAGTGACCCCAGAGGCAGATGCATCACCTTCTTCCCCAGACCGCCTCTGAGGATGCTGCTGCTGCTCCTGTTTCCCATGGTCTTTCCCCTGCTCCCCGGGGCTCAGGCTGGTGAGTACAGGAGGGGATAGGCCACCCTGGCCTCATAGGGAGTGGAGCCTGGCACTATCGGACCTGTCTGCAAACCCAGGCTCCTCCCCAGAGTCAGATGCTTCCACCAGGGCCATCGGTGTGTCCCCAGCACCCAGCTGGAGTGCGCTAGGGCCTGGGGGGCTCTTGGTTTATGCCCAGGACCCAACTGGCGAGCTTCAGGGCCATGGGGTCTGGGGATGGTTATTGGTGTGTATGTGCCCTGGACAAAGCTGAGGTGCCCCACAGCCATGGGGTCTGAGGGTATTGGTGTGTGCCCAGGACCTAGCTGTGGAGTTGAGGGGTCTGGGGGCAGGTGGGCAGGGAGCTAAAGGATGCGGGGGAGAGGTGGGGGCTGATGCTACCATAATAAATTGCCTGAGAGGGAGGCGACAAAGAGAAACTCAGTGAGGGCTGATGTGAACAGCCAACTCCTAGACAGAAAATGCAGAGCTGTGCAGCCTGTGTGGGTAGAGCAGGGATGGCTGGGAGCCAGGACTCCTGGGTTCAGTGTCCGGAGCTGGGAGGGGAGTGGGTTCTAGTGGTTAGAGTGGGTGATTGTGGGAGAGTTGAGCATCAGGACTCCTGGGTTCTTTTTCCAATTCTGCCCCACTCTGCACCAGTGATCTGGAGTGAGTCACTTTCCCATTGTGCCTGGATTTCCCAGTGTGTGAAATGGGGATGAGGATCCGTCCTTTGTCTACATGAACTCTGTGGGGCAGGGCTTCTCACTGTTTCTCTGCAGTGCCTAGCACAATGGGGGCTCATCTCAGGCGGTGTCTGCGCAGCACTCGGCACAACAGAGGCCTTGGTCTCATCGGGGTCTGTGCAGCGCTAAGGACAACGGGGGCTCTGATCTAGGTTAGCGGATGGGTACACCGGCTGGCTGGATTGGGAACCTGAACTAACTCCGTCTCTTGGCATCTCTGCCAGTGTTGATCATCAGGGGATGGGAAGCCCGGCCTCACTCCAGACCCTACATGGCCTTTGTGAAAATAGAGAGAGAAGGAAAAGGAGAAATCAGGTGCGGAGGGTTCCTCATCTGGGAGGACGTGGTAGTGACGGCGGCTCATTGTAACTGCAACATTGGGTGAGAAATGCAGGATCCCCTGCCCCTGAGACAGCCATTCTCCTAACCTGGGGCCACATAAAGCTGCCCCCTGCCATGCAGGGGAAAGGCACCAGAGCTCTGGCTTCTGAACATTCAGACTGAGTGCAAAGCAGAGTCTACACCCACCCACTTTAACGAGGTTAACGACCCATGACTGAATCCATAGTGTTGGCCTATCTGCAGCACCTGCATCTCCTTGTATTTCACAGCAACATCACTGTGCTGCTTGGGGCCCACAACACTGAAATAGATGAACCAGGGACGCAGAAGATCTTGGTACATCGTCGAATCCCCCACCCAGAATTCAATGGCATCACGTTTGAAAATGACCTCATGCTGCTGCAGGTACCACCCCCATCCCATCACCCCGCCCCCAGTGATCTCACACT